TAGCCTACTGGAGCCCTAGTGGTATAATGTTGCTAAAGCACATGGCTGCTAACTGAAAGATTGACAGTTCAAACCCACCAGGCACTCCTCCAGAGAAAGATATGGCACTCTGTTTTCATAAAGATTATACCCCTTTAAACCTGTGGAATAGGTTTACACTGTTTTAGGTTTTCACTATGTGTTGAATCCCCAATCAATGTTCTTAGAAGCAGTAGTTAGGGAAATAAATGATGTATTTCATTGGGCAAATCTGCTGCAACAGAACGCTTTAAAGCATTAGAAAGCAAAGGTATCACTTTGAGGACTAAGGTGTGCCTGACCCAAGCTGTGGTATTTTCAATTGCCTCTTATGCATTGTGAAATATGGACAAAGAATAAGGAAGACTGGAGAAGACCTGATGTATTTGAATATTGAAAGTACCTTGGACTGACAGAAGAACAAATACATTGTCTAGGGCCATTAAACACAGCGATGAGGTCATTTCGCTGATGGGGGACATTGTGAAGGTGTTCACTGGGATCAGTGAATTAGAGGGATTGATAAACTGTTGGAGTAAAAGCACTGGGGAGAGAGCTGGGAAGGTAGGAGGTGGTTGTTAGAATGGTGGCTTGAAATATTATGGAAGCAATCCTGTTACCAATTCTGAGAAGGTTTTAGGGCTTCTGAAAATAGGGTTCATCTGAACCAGGAGATTGGAATATAATGAAGAAAATACATTTTTTGTAAGGACTTATTAGGGAATTTAACTTGCCATTGATAGATGAGTGGACTGCTAACAGTAGAAGAAAATGTTCCCTTTGTGTTACAGTAACTGACATAAAATGTTTAATAGGGTTAAAATCAAAGATAAAGCCAGAAACAAAAGCTAGCGTGCTGGGCAGGATTTCAAGGTTCAGGCCATAAGGTAATAACTTTCTAGGCCAAGGATGAAAAGATCTGATGTTATAACAATTATTTGTAGAGATCAATTTGAGATCCTAGTTCTGACAGGTAATGTTATGGACATCTACTTTCTTGCACCAGTACCCACTTGTGACCACCCTGCTTTTACTACGTAGAAATGATTGGTCACTCCACATCCCCTTCAGTGTTTGTTGGCTGCCCTTTTCCAAAGTTATCATTGGCTCAGATTGGCTAGTGGAAGTGTTTCATCTCTGTGGGTACAGTGATAGGTCCGAGGAGGGGAATATGACGTAGTCAGTGCCATGAGAGATAATGCATTTTTGCTTAGGACTTTTGAGAAGGGAATGATTGCTCTTTGGGAGCTATTTTAGCTATCTTTCACACAAAGTGAAAACCTATGAAATAATTGAGCCAATAAAGGGGAGAGAAGAGTAGTAAAAGGTGACTTCATTTGAGCCCTTTACCCAGTTGCTGTTGCGTTAATGCTAATTCACAGTGACTCCATGTGAGAATAAAACCGTGCTTGATAAGGTTTTCAGGGCTACAGCCTTTCAGAAGCAGAGCAGTTGGCCTTTCTTCTGAGGTGTCTCTGAGTGGATTTGATCTGCCAGTTCGGTCAGTAGCTGAGCACTTAACCTTTGCACCAACCAGGGACTCTTTATTTGAGCCCTTGTTGTTATTTCCAACTCATAGCGCCCCTGTGTAGGGTTTCTGAGGAGCAGCTGTGAGTTTGAACCACTGACCTTGCAGTTCACACCGACCTTGAAGACTCCATAAAGCTATCTCTGGACTTTTTAGTTACTTGTCAATGAATCAGCTTTTTGTTTGCTGAGTTAAGTTGATTTTCTGTCATTCATAATCAGAGGAGACTTTTTCCCAATCTCCATCATTGTTACTGATACATGGTGTGGATACAGTTGCTATAAGGAATTGCCAAATCCTCAAAATTTGCTTGAATGAGCGTGCTGCATTGTAGTTGAAACATAGTCAGGATATGGAATCTTCAGAATTCTCTATTCCTTAAACCTTTGACATACTCTTCTTGAGCACCTGTGCCTTCATGGGAGGCCCTTTGGTATTGGGAAGAGAACATCACACCAATCTGGGATCATGTCTGATACTAACTAGCTGTGTTATTTCAGTCCCTGAGCCTCAATTTTCTCAGCTGTGGAATGAGAATGATTCCGAATTTGCAGGGTAATTGAGAGGATTGAATAGACTTAAAAAACAAAACCCCAAATCCATTGCCATAGCATCAATTCAGACAGAGTAGAACTGTCTAATAGGGTTGCCAAGACTTGACATGACTGGTAGGTTCAAACTGCTGAACTTTTCACTTATTAGCAGTTGAGTGGCTAACCAGTATTCCACCAAGGGCTTCTTTTGGTAAAGATTGCATGTGTAATTGAACAGATAGCTCAATTCTGTAGGGATTGCATGTATAATTGAGCAGATAGCAATAGGGTAGCAAATAGCAATGTTGTTGTTATGTGCCGTGGAGTCAGTTCCGACTCATAGCGACCCTGTACAGGGTTTCCAAGGCTGTAAATCTTTACGGGAGCAGAAAGCCTCATCTTTCTCCCGTGGAACAGCTGGTAGTTTTGAACTGCTGACCTTGTGGCTCGCAGTCCGATTCCTAACCACTACGCTACCAGAGCTCCTTTAGCAAAGAGCAATAGGGTTGTCTTTTGACATATATATTCTTGAATATTGAATTGACTCTATGGCAATAGATTTGGGGTTTTTGTTTCTTAAATTCTGTTTAATTCTCCCAGTCACCCTGCAAAGGCTGCGTATCATTCTCATTCCACAGCTGGGAAATCTGAGGCTCAGAGGATTGAAATAACACAGCTAGTTTTTGACATGTATATTCCTGACATGTTTCCAAATGCTTCTTTGTGCTAATAGAGTCTTAGATAGAACTCTACTTTCTGTAAATCACAGTGTTATTACAGTATCAATGTAAGTGGATATTGGTTAGTTAAAAAAGCAAATAAGACAGTTCTTGGCATACATTCATGCTATCATTTCAGGGTTTCGTGGGAAGTAATAATGACATCTAATATTCATTGAGTGCCTGCTTTTTGTTAGGCATTATGCTACATACTTTATATATATATTGTCTCATTTATTCCTCACGATCAGATAATCTTATAGATGCATACTTATTTTAGAACCCATATTACTTTGTGGAAGAAATGAGATTGGGATTCTGTTTTATTCCCTTTCCTTCTGAGAATTAAATCTCTTCAGATGGCGTGCACTCAGTTGCAGACACAATATAGTATGCTGGTTAAGAGCACAGACCCTGGAGACAGATGACCTGCCTGGGTCGAATCTCATTTACTACCTGTAACCTTGGGTAAAGAGCTTCCTTGCCTCAGTTTCATCATCTATAAAACAAGGGTAATTACCTCTCTCATAGATAGGTGATGATTAAATACCAGAGTTTTCAAAGTCTGTGGAAAAATTCCATTTTTTTTGGAGCCCTCTCATATGCTAATCTATGTAAAGCACTTACTTATAACAGTGTTGGTAGGGGTCTTCCTCTTTTCCACTGACCTTCCACTCTACCAAGCATGATGCCGTCCTCCAGGGACCAGGAAAACAGTATTATATAATGTGGTGCTGTGGGTTAATGCGCTGGACTGCAAAGTCGGTTTGAACCGCAAGGTCAGTGGTTCAAGCGCACCAGCCGCTCCTTGGAAACCCTATACAGGGTCGCTATGAGCGGGACCGACTTGACAGCACTCAACAACAACAATGGGTCAGAAACAACTTGACGGCACTTAACAACAACAACAACAACATTAGCTGTTGTGCTTAATTAATTTTATCTCAGCAGATATTTCACCATATTGGTCAAAGTTACTATTTTACACATAATGAAATTTCTAAAATCATGTTAAACTCAGTGGCGTCTCTATAGTATATCATCATTTTAGTCATTAATATGATTCTCTTCTCAGAAGCCTTTTTGAGTAGCTTTTTTCTTCTTTGGGATTTTATTGAATTTATTTGGGGACATAAGTTAGCACTTCATTATTTGTGTTTTATTTGTTTTTTTTTTAATTTGTGTATTGTTTAATTGATTCTTTCTGTAAAAAAAAATTTTTTTTAAGCTTTTGTGAATTGAGTGATAGTTTCCATGGGAAAACATCGGTTTTACACGCATTGTTTCATTGCAATGATTACAATCTCCTCCGTGCATCATCATTCAACAGTATTTGCTTCTATTCCCTCTTTTTTGGGGGATGTACACAAAAACACTCAGGAAGATATAATCATTTAAACAACCAAAGGACACACTGCAAGCCTGCCTGCTGGCCACCAGCACACAGTCTTTCTCTTTACATGAATCTAGAGTCCTCAGCTGTTCCCTCTCTCCATGTCTTCTCTGCCGCCATTTCTGGTGTGGCTGCTTCTCTGGATAGGGTCCCACATTCTGCTCATGCTCTTCTCACTTGATGGTCCTAGGATCCTTTGTTCCTGGAATGTAAGATTAACCACTTCCCCTTTTTTGTTATAAAACTTCTACTTTTACTGTTGTAACCATCATAATTCATCATAATAAAATTACTCACTGTTGAATTAATAAGAATCTTATCCCCATCTCCTTTTGCCAGACCCGTCTAGATAAGATGAAAACTATTCAGTGGGGATTCTACCTTCCCCCACACACTTTGAAACTAAACTGCCTTTTGAAAACTTGAAAGCCACTCACTTCATGCCTGTATAGCGCTCTCCCCACCCCCGCCATTTTAGGTAGCCAATGTTTAAGTTGCCTGTCCGATCAACCCTGTGTACAGAGGGGATAGGATTGATCCTTGATGTAGCATTTCATTATTGATAAGATTATTTGATCTGTGTTAGCTTTATGTCATCAACTAGATTGGCTTTAAGCTGATTGATAGCTCAAAATTTTGGTTTCTTACATGTCTTAGTATCCTTTATAAGTACAAAACATGAATGAGAGCATGAAATTCATGATCAGTTACTAGAGGTAGGCACTCCAAAGCAGCGGTATCATTTTATGTTTAAAAAAGGTGTGTGAGCATTGGAAGCATAGTCTTACTAGTGTTTTACTTCATCTTAGGTTCCTAAATACTTGTCACAGCAATGGACTAAAGCCCCCGGAAGAGGTGAAGTTGGGAAATTACGGATTGCCAAGTAAGTTATTTACTTACATATCATTGACATTATAAAAAGCTGTTCAGAAACATTTACAGTCCCATTTAAATGTGACTATAGGTCTTGGCTCTGCAGGATAATGCACTTGACCACAAGGTCGGTAGTCCAAACACAACAGTTGTTCCTCAGAAACCCTATATAGGATCACTATGAGTCAGAATCGACTTCATGACACTTAACAACAACATAGTTGTTATTCAGGTAGAGAATTTACTTCCATTTTGAGATACTTGGAAGATGAGAAGTATTGAGCATGTCAGGGCCTGTCAAGTGATAGTTAGGTGCCCTGTAAGGAGCAGTGCACACATGTGGTGTAAATATCAAATGAAATGTACTGGTAACATGTATTAGCAGTGCAGTAGCAGAGCATGTAGCTCCTCCTCTCTCCCCCTTTGGCCATCCTGTGAGGAGATGTGTGTGGGTTGGGCATGACTAGATGCACCCATCAAAGTGTTCAGGTAAGATGACTTAGGTACTGCGTACTGCCTCTAGAGGGAGAGTGAAAGAAGGTGGGGACTGATGGTCAGTAGAGCTTCTGATTGAGGAAATGGCCTTGTTAGAAAGGGGAACCAGTCAAGCTCAGAAGCCTTGTGTTCAATTCCTTCCCTTCAGCTCCAACCAGGTTCCATGCGTAGCACTCCACTGAAAACCTCTCTTGTCTATGACCAATATCCTCCATTTTATCACTTAGCTTTTGCTGTATAACAAGCCACTCCAAAATTTAGTGGTTTAGAGTAACAGCTGTTTTATTTGCTTGTAATTTAGATAGGTCAGATGGACAGTTCTAGTGTGGACCAATGTGATTGAGGTATCTAGGACAGCCTCTGTGTTTCTGGTGGTTGGCTCAATATCAGCCAAAGCCATGTGTATTTCATCTCCAGTGTGTTCATTCACATGATGGTGAAAAGAGTTCTTAGTAGCAAAAGAGAGGAAAAATCCCAAGGCTCACAGACTTTTCGAGTCTGTTTGCCAAAGCAGCTCATGGCTAAGACCAAATTCAGGGCTGGGACAGCAGACTCTACCTTTTATGTTTTATAGTCTGCCATATCCACATTACTGAATGTAAGCATCAACTACCTGGGGGCTCAGGACCACAGTCTCAGGGAACACTATGGTCAGGTACAGTGTTCTGTCTCCTTTGGTGAGTGATAACTGGGATCTTAAAAGTTCATGAATGGCTATCTAAGGTGCAATCGTTAGTCTCGCCCTGTCTGGAGGAAAGAAGAGTGATGAAACTTGGAGACACTTGGAAGCAATTAGTCCAGAAGACTGACGGAACAGATGAATATCAGTTCCCGGCTACCTCTATCAACTGGGATCACATTAGAAGGTCCTGGGTAGGGGGGCGGGGGGAATGTTGTTGTTGTTAAGTGCTGTCGAGTTGATTCTGACCCATAACGATCCTGTATAGGATTTCCGAGGAGCTTGAACTGCTGACTTTGAGGTTCAAACCAACTTTACAGTCCAGTGCATTAACCCATAGTGCCATACCAGGACTCCAGGAGGAAATGTAGAACAGGTGAAATAAAAAGACAAGGCATACTTACCAAATAAAGACAGGTGGAACCCTGAGACTATGACCCTTGGCCATTCTTTAGCTCTGGAACTGAGCTCTTAACCTGTGGCTCAGTTTTTAGACAAGTAGTAGATAGGTATATAGGGGGGACGACAACACTAGTGAGGCACATACACCTCAGAATGGTCAACCATGCAAGATCCAAAGGGCAGCATTTACTGATACAGAATTCAGCAGGGTGAGGAAAGTCGGAGAAAGTGGGGTACATGATGTTCCATTGAAGGATTAGCAGTCACTATGATGAAACAAAGTGTATGACTTACTGAATGTAAATCTGATGATCTGCTCTACTCTGTAAACCTTCACTCAATTCTTAATAAAAATATTTTTTTTAGAAAAAGAGTCAACTGGTAGACCTTTTCTGACTTGACCTTCAGCAGAATTTGACAGAATCTAGTGACTCCTTTCTTGAAACTTTGTTTTCAGTTGAATTCTTGATACTTCTCTCTTCCTCGCTGACGGCTACTTTATTTTTCACAAATAAGCTCTTAAATTTGTCATCATTAAAAGTCTGAATTTTAAACAGATTCTTGAAGTTGTGGTTCATAGCCATCAGCTCGTTCAACTTTTGCACCTAGCTCATCTCCAGTAGCTTTTCCAGAACTACTGCCTTCACCATGAAGCTCCATGAGTTTGCCCAACTCAAACTTGGGCTTCATCAGCATTTTCACTTTCCCAACAAACACATCATAGAGAGGGAAAATAGACTGGCAAGCCTTCTCTGTGTCCTTTCCAATGCTGTCTGGAATCAGTTTATTGACCACTTCTTTCAAGTCAAAAGCCCCTCTCAGGCCATGATTTCCATCATCTTCTTCTGGATTTGATGGACCTGTAGGTGCTGAGCATAAGATGTCTTTCGTCCGAATCGGGTTGTTGTGTTTTTTAGTAAAACCAACACAGAACAGGCAAAGCAAATTACCATCTGTAGTCTTGATATCAACATGAGCTTCAATCATGGTCTGCCATTTTTTGACCATGGAGCACATTTTGTCATGGATAAGATCCATGCCGTGGAAGTTGGTCAGGCAGTTTTTGTCCTGCACATCCTCAGTAATTAGCTTGAATTTTCTAAATGCAACTTCATTGTTCTGAAGATCCAGCAAGGCTCACTTCAAAAACATGACCCTTGAGCCCATCAGATGTAATTTTGGTTCCTTGAGTCCTTGTGACTAGTGTTTTCCCAATATTTCTTACACTGAACATAGCTGGTGCCTTCACATCATACCAATCTTTCTTAGAAAATGGATCAACCACTTTCTTCTTGGCACCCTTTTTGCCACCATGCCGATGGCCATAGTGCTGCTCAGAGAGCCAAAAGACTGACGGCTACTTTTGTCTCTAGTTCCCACCTGTCTTCTCAGTCTAAATATACGACCCCAGGACTCAATCCTTGGTTATTTTCTTCTTTCTTCTTCCTATGGGTCTCATAGTTTTAAATACCATTTATATGCTGGCAGTTCTCAAAAATATTTCTCAATCCTGGTCTCTCACCTGAACTCCAGATTCTCATGTCTGATTGTCTCTTGATGTTTCTTTCCACTCAGATGTTTAAGAAACTTCGAGGCCTTTTCTGACTTCCCTATATAAAATAGCACCCTCTACATTCTTCTTGGATCAACTGTCAACACTCACGGAAGCAGCAGTCAAGAAATCAAACGACGTATTGTGTTAGGCAAATCTGCTGCACAAGACATTTTTAAAATGTTGAAGAGCAAAGATGTCAGCTTGAGGACTAAGATGCACCTGACCCAAGCCATGGTATTTTCAGTGATCATATGCATGTGAAAGCTGGACAGTGAATAAGGAAGACTGTAGAAGAATTGATGCTTTTGAGTTATGGTGTTGGAGGAAAATATTGAAAGAGGAGAATATTGCCAAAAGAACCAACAGATCTGTTTTGGGAAGAAGTACAGCCAGTGTGCTCCTTGGAGGCCAAGATGACCAAACTTCATCTCTCATACTTCGGACATATTGTCAGGATGGACAAGTTGCTGGCGAAGGATATCATGTTTGGTAAGGTGGAGAGTAAGAAAAAAAGCGGAAGACCCCCAACGAGATGGATTGGCCAAGTGGCAGCATCGATGGACTTAAGTGTGGCAACAGTAGTGAGGTTGGCCCAGGATAAGGCAGTGTTTTGTTCTGCTGTGCATAGGGTCGCTATGAATCAGTACTGACTCCATGGCACCTGACAATAACACACTCTATCTTGGAGTCCTGGTATGGTGCTGTGGGTTAATGCGCCAGACTGCAAAGCCGTTTGAACTGCAGTGTTGGTGGTTCAAGCTCACCAGCTGCTCCTCGGAAACCCTATGCAGGGTCACTATGGGTTGGAACCGACTTGACGGCACCTCACAACAGTGCTTATCATCATTGTCTCATATAGTTGAGAAGTATTTATTCAGCTGCTCCTGTGCCATCTGATATACTGTATATATACAAATAGATATAGAATACTACTAGCGTATAAGCTCCCAAAAGGATTTCTAGTTGAATTCTGTATTTCAGCATTGAAAACAGCACTTGACTTAATAAAATTAAATTCAAACACTTTGCCGTTGCATTGATTCCGACTCACGGGCACTCCATGTGCTTACACAGTAGAACTGCTCCTGAGGGTTTTGTGGACTGTGGTCTTTGTGAAAGCAGATCAGTAGGCCCTTCCTTTGCAATGCTGCTCTGTGGGTTTAAGCTGCCAACCTCTAGGTTAGTAACAGTAGTAAAGTGCCGTGGAGTCGGTTCCAACTCATAGCGACCCTGTATAGGGATTCCAAGGAGTGTCTGGTGAATTTGAACCGCCGACCTTGAAGTCCAGTACTATATCCTACAGCACCACAGCAGGACAACACAGCAGTAGCGAAGTGTAAACTGCCGTGCACACTTGAATTGATTCAGTGGCAATTAACAATAAGGGACTTACATGACATAGTAGATACTCAGTACATATGTGTTGAATGAGTAAATGAAAACTGCTATGACAACTTTACTAACAGTTGTTAAGTGCCATCGAGTTGGTACTGACTCATAGTGACTCTTTAGTAACGGTGATGGTGGTGTGCCGTGGAGTCGGTTCCGACTCATAGTGACCCTGCATAGGGTTTCTGTGGCTGTAAATCTTTACAGGAATAGAAAGCCTCATCTTTCCCCTGTGAAACTGCTGGTAGTTTCTAACTGCTGACCTTGAGGTTAGCAGCCTGACTCGTAACCACTACGCTACCAGAATTTCTTTGTAACTACTGTTAAACTAGTTACTTTATTTATTTATTTATTTTAAAAATAATAAATAAAGTAACTAGTTAAAAGTAGTTACTTAATTTTTTTCTTAGACCATATTTCAAAAAGTTTAGATGGTTAGTGAATTAGTAGAATATTGTCAAGGCTTAATTTTTCTGCTATGGTTCCATTG